GGTAATGACTGCGGATGGCGCCGCTCACAACAGAACTCCAATACAGATGTCACCAGCACCACCATTCCATGTCAGTGTAAATTAGGGATGCACCGAGATACAAGAGGTGCACCGAAATGAAGATTTCAAAAACGAAACCGAAAAAAAAAAAATGTCCGACCGAAACCGAAGATGTTTTTTACAGAATGTTATGGCTGATCGGTGTACACGCATAGCAAACGCCCGTGTTCACGCTACAAGAGGTTACTCCAGGGTGCAGTTCTTCTGAGCTCCACAAGATGGTGAACTCACCTATACCCAGACAGGAAGTCTATGGAAAATGGACAGGAAGTGATGTCACATATAAATAGGAAGTTACCAGGAAAAGGTGAGTCAGGAGGAAGTGTAGAGGAGACATTGCTGGGACTGGCAGCAGAGGAGGTAATAAGATATTATTTTATATATACACCCAGTAACCCCCCTCCCCCCGTCATGTCCGTCCTCCATAGTCACCGTGACGTCTTGTATCTCCTGCAAATTTTGTAATATCTTGGTCCTCTGTCTTCTTAATGAAACTCCTCCCCTCTGAGTCCTCGCGTGTCACTAATCTACTAACTGACATATCAGTCCGGATGTCACAACATTTCTTACAACTCAACCTCTCAAAAACTGAGCTCTTGGCACTGGCCTCCATCCCCTCTCTGCCGATCCCTCCACTGGCTTCCATCCCCCACCCCTCTCTGCCGATCCCTCCACTGGCTTCAATCTATCTCCAACACTGACTGCCTTTAGGCGTTCCCTAAAGACTCATCTCTTCAGAGAAGCCGATCCCACCTCAACCTGACCGCTCAACCATTCATCCCCACACATCTACCTCCTCATGTATCACTGGCCCCTCCCCTTTTAGATTGTAAGCCCTCAGGGGCGGGGCCCTCCTTACCGTCTTGAATTGTATTGTGATTGTAATGTCTTCCTTATATTGTAAAGCGCTGCGCAAACTGTTGGCGCTATATAAATCCTGTATAATAATAATAATGAAACCTCAAAACCCGATACAAATCTCCGCAATGAAGGAAATGTTCCGGCCCCCGTAAGTGACCCTGAGGAGGTCAATATACATTTCCAGATGTTATCTACTCCATAATGATCCCAGTCTCAGATCTTCATCCTAAAATGTGATCAGCAAAGTCTCCGGAGGACGAGGAGATTTCTATTGTGGGTCAAAGTTCACTTTACAGTGTAGGAGAGGTGGGACGCACCCAGGAGCCTCATACAGAACCCCTCCCATCTCCTCCCCCCAATGTCCTCCATCCAGAGTCACCCCATCCTATGACATCACACTGACCTCACATCTCCTCCC